ATATATATATGTATATATATGAGTATTATGTATATATATATATATGTATTATGTATATTATATATATATATATATATATATATATATATATTATATATATATATATATATATATATATATATATAATATATACACACACACATATATACATAACCATGTATGTATGATTTCACATGCACATGCACTACAATCCTTTTTTTTTTCTGTGTACATTTCAATATTTCCTCTGTAATCTAATTAGACAGCTTGGACCTGTGTGCATAACTTCATTAAGCAACATATTATTTAGAGATTCTGGTTATCATTTCTAAATCAACTAGATTTTCAAGTTATGACAGCCTGAGAGAACCCTATTTAATTTAAACTTAAGATAGCAAAGAAAGCGATTCCGTACACTTAGAGAACAATTGCAAGAAAAAGTAGAAGAAAATAGAAAATCAATGTATATTGTCCCTTTGTATATGCTTTCATATTCATTCAAAAATGATAAGATAGATCCTGGCAGAAATTATGTAAATAGCTATGACCAATGTGTACTATAGACTTTAGGTGCTTGAATGTGGAGACTGTGGTGTGGGGACATTTGTTAAAAATTTTTGTAGTTTTCGTTTGTCTTCACTAGCGCTGTACAGGGTTTACGAAGCACTAATCTTCTTACAAAGGCCTCTTTTGAGCTTGGGTTCCACTGCTTCTACTCCGTTTCATGTAGGATCATTTTCAACTGTATAATCCTACCCTAGTCATCCAAAGATTAATGAGTCTCTGACATATTCCTCCAATTTGTTGGCTTATTAGTTCTGTAGGCAAGAAAATAGTGATGCCTTACAGTTACAGGCCAAAATACAGGGAAAGTTAGGAAATTTCACCATTTATTGTATTTATGGCCAACATTTAATGATAGATTTATCCTGTGCTGTATAAGCACTTCAGTATTTATTATTTTAGTATGAATAAACAAGATATCAGTTCAGTGTTAGATATAAGCTTGTAAACGTATTGTTAATTATTTTATAACTGCATAATAATATTTACATTTTATTAAAGATGATCCTTAATAACAAATCCTCATCGCCCCTTGAAAAAAGCTAAACCAGGCAAAGAACACTAGAAGTGTGACTTACCCAAGTGTCCTAGGTTAGCCTAAGTTTTGGCAAAGGGGTGATAAACCTCATCTTGAGTCTGGTTCCAGAGTCAAATAAGGCCAGTGTAACCCAGGCTTTTAAAACCAAATTTCCCCCTGCTTTTGACCTTGTATACCTGTTCTAAATAATTATCCTTACTCAGTTTTCCTGTATACTTTGTCTTTTGAATGTCATGAGTAAAGTAATAGAATAAATGAAATGTGAAATGTGAAATAAAGACAGCCAGTCAATATGTATTTTCAAGAGGCTTGTGGAATCTAAAGATGTAATTAAAAGATAATTTACATTTTGGTGTCCAAGTTGTCCATTTAAATTTATCCCTTTCTCTGCATGATGAATAAAAGTGATTTTTTTTTCTTAACTTTTCTTCCCCATCACAGTCTAAACATTTAAGATTTATGTACATATCCCAGTGTGTACTCTTTAAGAATGTGTGTTTTCATTTCTTTGAATGTATGGAGTACTGTAAGTCAGGAACACTATATTCTCAAGTGTCATCGTCATTTTTCATTCCTCTCAAGTTGAAATAATGTAACGTAATACTCTTGCATTTTTAAATTTATAATCAGAGAGTAGAGGACCAAACTTTGATACGTGATTGTATGCTCATAGTTTCTTTATTCTTCTTTGATCAAGAATGAAATAGCTCTAATGTTTGTCAACAAGATGCAAGCACCATCTAAATACACGTCCTCAATTTACCTCTCTATTTACTAGCGGACCTGAGTGGATCGCGCGACTCCCTCACCACACGCGATTCAGGTGAATTTTATCTCTGCATCTTGATGTATCCCTCCCTCCCATGCCTGCTTTACTTGGCAGTTCGTATTGAGACATTTTTTCACTAGGTTGCGGTGATGCAGCAGCCCTTTACTTGGTGTCTTCTTTCTATCTTCTCTTACAAGTACCTACCACAGCCCTCTTTTGCATATGTGTAATCATTCAGAAGCAGTATAGTCATGTATTGTACTACTGACTTTAGATGCACAAATTCCTTAGCGGTGATATTTTCTTTATTTATATTTATTTTTTTTATTTTTTTTATTTGAGCATCTGGGAGGTCATGTGATAATTTTATGTTTATTTATGTCTTGTAGTGTTTTTTTTTATGCTTCTGTTATTTCAGGGGAATATTCCTCTCTGCAACTTCTCAACAATTTTATTTGCAAAATGAAGTTTTAATTTTTAAAAGTGAAATGTTATTCTCTAATGTTGTATATTAATTTACCTGAGTTTATCTTAATTTATTTAGCAAAGTGGGTATTATGTCTTTTTAACTTAGAGCTAGTTCAAATAGTATATTTGCATTTTGAACCATAATGGAAATGATATAGTGGAAGAGACTGAAATCAAATCATGAAAATAGTCAAATACTTTTTAGTATTATTATGATCATTATATTATTATTATTGTTTTTATCATCATTGTCATTGTCATCATCATCTACATCTTCATCATCATCTTCATCTTCATCTTCATCTTCACCATCATCTTCATCATCATCATCACTATTGTTAGTATCATTATTATAATTGTTATTTATTTGATAAATTTTTGATTGTTTACCATTTTGTTTCAGTATTTCTCTGCTGCAATGTTTCTTTGCCAAAGACACTGTAGTTAATATTTGTTACAAATTTTTAAGGGGGAATGTATTGATTTTTTTTACTGTTCACTTATTTCACAGTGTATTTACATGGATAATGTATTAAGTAATATGTCTGTTTTCAAGTGTTTAGCACACACATGTGCTAAACATGTATATGAGTGCAAACAGATGTGTATGCACTCATATACAGACATATAAATATACACATACACTGTGTGTACTCTGATATTAGGATTTTTTTCTTTCTTTCCCTTCTTTTTTTTACATTTTTTTTCTTTATTGATAAAGTGGTAAACTTGAATTAATCTGAAATTGCATATTTTGCAGAGGTGATATTGCTATTATTTATCTGTTTTCTTTGTGACTAGCCTTTGAAAATAGATTTTGTGACTCCTTTTCTATTTTTAAAGATAATTTGGCTGCTATGCTGCAGAGGATACATTTCCAGCTTCTTTTGTGTCATTTTATAATTAGTTATGGATATTCTTTTGAAAGTTATTTTTCTCTTGTAAATTTGTCTCACTCATACATTTATGAAGTACGTGCATCTTGGCAAATGGACTTTTTTTTTGTCATGTCTTTAAGGTTGTTTAAGTATATTGTTTCCAAAAATGTTTCCAAAGTTGATGTTGGTTTGCATGTCTGGGTTCTTCCATTCAAATCCAGAAGATTTAGTATCATATATAGTAATTGTGGACTTTATTATTCAGTTACCACATATGTTATTTATTTATTTATTTTTTAATTTGTTTTTATAGTTTCAAAAGTAAACAAAGTTTGTTTAATGCATTCATTGGGGAACTAGCTCAGCTATTATTATTGTTATGGTTGTTGCTAATATAATCATGATAATAGAAATAATAAGTATTTTACTATTTCTGTTTATATTTGGATTGTTATTGATTATCTTATTGTTAGAAGTGAATTGCATGTGCAGTGAGCACATGACAAATCTTTTAAAGTTCCTAGGCTTAAGCTGGCCATATACTTGTAGGTCTGGCCTGTCCAGCTGATGGAAGGGAGTGTGGGATTGTTCTCTGAGAGAGACCCACACACACACACACACACACACAGGCAGCATCCTGAATAGATTTAGCATATTCCAGACCACTACATTGACAACTTGAATCAATGACTTCATGGGGAAGAGCTTCATAGACTTCTATGAACTCAAAGTAAAACACTTTGTTAGCATGGCTGACAGCAAGATCTCATGAGCTAGAAGCAGACTAGCAGCTGGCTGCAATGTGCAGAATTTTCTGCACCAACTGATTTTCGTTCATCCTCTGTGACAAGTTGGGCGGGATGAAAACATCCATGTATACACACAGGCTCCCTCTATCCGTGGACAGGATGGGCCTGCATGGTTATGGCTGGTTCTATAACTTGCTGGTATTGTCTTTTTCCATTATCATATATTTTCTTTGTTAAATAATGCATAGATGCAATTTTATATGATATTGTGCTTGAGTATTTATATGTTTGTATTTTTATGTATTTATTTGTAATGATTTTCCTCAGACTTTATTTCATCTTTTATGAATCTGATATCTGTTCCTATATCATCAACAGCCTGTTTCTTTATCTGTCTTTTTATCTATCAAGTTGTCCATTTGCCAGTCAGCATCTGTATTTCTTGAGCTACATTTTCATACAGCTTAATTTGTTACCATATATTTCTTTTTTTCCATATTTCCTTTCTTCTTTTCTTCCTCACTTCTTTCCATTTTTCCCTCACTCCTCTCTCATTCCTCCCTTCCTTCCTTCCTTCTTTCCTTCATTCATTTCATTCATCTCTTCTCTCTTTCCATAGAGGAATATTGTAAATCCCATTAGATAAAAAGTGAAATGGTATTTTTTCCCCCATTTCATTTTGGTAGTTAGAAAGACAGTGATGTATGTATAGTAGTTAGTATGAAGGTTTCAGTGTAAGGCAACAGTTACATCTTTGTATTTTTTGGTGTTTATTTTTGGTATTTTATATTTGGTTACTGTGACAGCACTTGAAAAGCCAACTTTTGCATTTAGATCACTGCATGTATGGTGTTGATCATAGTAGAGAAACCACATAGAACTTATGAAATGTGCCATGTTCTATTTTTATTTATTTGTATGTTTTTTGAAATAATGATTTATTGGATTAGGTAAAATAATTTTCTTTATTTTATTTTTTTGCATAGGAAATTCATGTTTATTGATCTCCATCTTCCCTTTTGTCCTTTTACTAATATTTCAAGCTATTTTATCAGGCTGGGTGGATGAAAGTGTGTGCTCCCGGAGGCATGAGGACTTCTGGGGTGAAGGCTATGGACCCCAGTCCTTTACCACTGGCCGACGAGGCAAACTCCCCCCACCCCCAACCAAGCCACGACCCAAGGCCAGCCAGACCCTCAAAGTGAGTGTTCGTGATGCAAACCTGTGAGGCATTTCATTTTATTATTATTATATTTTTAATCAATTTCTTATTTTTAAAACATTTGATTTTATTTTACTTTATTTTTTTATGTGTGAATCTTGTTGAATTTAAATAAGTTTGTACATTTTTTTTAGTCCAAATAAATTTGCTTCAGTGACTTGTTTCAATTTTGGGATAGAGGCTTTATATATGTGCTTTATAACATGGCATGTTTTTTTATGTTTATTGCTCTCATTGAGTTCCTGTGCCTTAGTATGGAGTTTTTGTCCATGTATTTGTATTTAGCGCACACTTGTTTATCTTGGAGTTACAGTAACAATGTACTGGTACATGTGGTCATGTATTATATTTGCTTGAGATGAAAAAAGAGCCTGCAATAGTTTTGTGAATGTCAACTTTGTGGGAAATGTTGCTTTTATGTTATACATATAATATCCTGAAATATAAAGTTTTAGACATTTTCTTATGAACTAACAAGATTTACAATGGTCAGAATAATATATCATTTTTTAAGGGGGGTAATTTATACAGAACATGAAAAAAGTACATACATCTATTTCAAGTAAACAATCAAGTCCTTATGAAGTTGACTAAATTTAGTTATTGCCAGTTGTATCAAGCTTTGTAAATGAGGGTAGGCAAAGATGTCTGTGGAGAAATAAGTTTAAATTTAGAATGTAAAAAATCGGTTTATAACAGAGCCTAGGATTTTTTTTTCATTTTTAGAATTGAACAATACCATTCACACAGATACATGTGCTGGCACATCAAAACAAATAGATACACATGCACACACACACATGCACACACTCCTGCCTGAGCAAATACCAACTTGGCTATCAACCTTACTTTCCTTCCTTTCTTCCTACCCTTCTTCTTTCCCTTCCTCCCTCCCTTCCTTCCTTCCTTCCTTCCTTCCTTCCTTCCTTCCTTCCTTCCTTCCTTCCTTCCTTCCTTCCTTCCTTCCTTCCCTCTTCCTTTCTTTCTTTCTTTCTTTCTTTCCTTCCTTCTTTCTTCCTTTCTTCTTTCCTTCATCACTTACTTCCTTTCTTCCTTCTCTCCCTCCTTTCCTCCCTTCCTTTCTTCCTTTCTTCCTTCCTTCTGCTCTCCCTCCCTTCCCACCCACACCACACTCCCTCCTTCCTTCCTTCCTCCTTCCTTCCTTCCTTCTTCCTTCCTTCCTTCCCTCCTTCCTTCCTTCCTTCCTTCCTTCCTTCTTCCTCCTTCCTTGCCTACCTACCTACCTACCTACCTACCTACCTACCTACCTACCTGCTATCTATCTATCTATCTATCTATCTATCTATCTATCTATCTATCTATCTATCTATCTATCTACCTACCTACCTATCTACCTACCTACCTACCTACCTACCTACCTACCTACCTTCCCTACCTACCTACTACCTACCTACCTACCTACCTACCTACCTACCTAGCTATCTACCTACCTACCTACCTACCTACCTACCTACCTACCTACCTACCTACCTACCTACCTATATATCAAAACATACACAAGTACATGTGCACAATCTGTAAGTTATTCAGACATATTGATAGAGATATTTCTTAACTGGCAGTGAAGACATGAATATTGAGTGGATTCTATTTTTAATTAGTTTCACGATTTTTCACCTACTGAATGTATGTATCATTCACGAAGGGCCACAGGTAGTGCTCACAATAATATAGAGCGCTTGAAGATTGTAGAGATATTTTACAATTATCTCTTAGGTTATAAATTCTGTAAGGATATCTGAACAAATAAAGCTTTTATTCCTTGTGAATGCTATAAAAGATTGGAATTTGTGATGTAAGGTTAAAAGAATTTTGGCTTTAAAGAGGTATGACATGCATATGATGCACTGTAAGAACATAAAAACAGATCTTGAAAAAAGGGCTTATTGATAATGGTTTGTTGCATCATGTATAGTGTTACCATGTTATGCCCTTTATTCAGTCTACCAAAGTCAATGATATTGCATGTGTTTGATATGTAAACAAGGATTGACTTTTTATAGATATAATACTGTAAACCAAAACCTGTTAAACATTACCAGGTCCTTGTGCAAAAGCGCCCATGTGTCAGTCATACAGGCAAGGGTTGCAAATTTGACCCATACCCATTCCTGACTTGCAGACGTTCCAGACGCTGAGTGAGGCAGTATGTCAGGTCACGAACAAGGTGTGTTTTGTGGGTTGCTCCACCCTCCTCCCCAGACTAGCACAAAAACCAGAGTTTTCCTGCTTCTAGTACTTTGTTTGTCTTTGACAAGCTGTATTTTCTGTCAAGTCACATCTGCAAGTATTCACTTCTTCCTTCGAAATGTAGTTTGTTTATGCAGACTAGCTTACGATTAACATGTAAGCTTAGGTTCTTGTTCTGTCCTATAACGACTAGCAAGAGGGGGATGGAGCTATCCTTCATAGCTATGAAATATGCATGACAACTAACTACCTGCTGATCTACACTAACAGACTTTCCTTAGTATGAGAAAGCAGGTCCACATTGCCATGGAAATGGGCCTTGCCATTAAACTGTTTCATTGCATGATATAAATTGGCATGCCCTCCTGAACAACATTGAAGGACTGTTGGATTGAAGTCTGTTGGTGTTATCAGTAGTGAAAAGAGAAAATTACAGAAGTCATGCACATACTCTTCTTCATAGAGCAAGAATGGAAAATTGGCTGGAATGACAAATTGGGATACACTTTTGAGATTTTTTGGAAGATCTCATCAAAACAAAAGCCTAAAAGTTATGTTCAGTACATGGTGATTGAAATCAGTAGGTGGAGCTCAAGATGGTATATTTCTTATACTCCCTGCTACTTTAAGGTGTGATGAACTACTGTAAAGTGATGTTCACCTTGACCACCTGTTGTTTAGGAGTGGCTGGACTAGTTGATACCCTCTCCTAAAGTAGATGCCTTAGAGTGTTCTAGTAATGATTAACCACTTTTTATGTGACTTGTGTGCCAATATTGAGCTAATAGATGTGAAGGGAGTTACAGTGAATATCCCTGTATAATAGTTTAAGACTGTGTCCTCTCTTAAGTGGTGATTCTTTGCTGAAACACTTGATATAAGTGCCATATATTTTGTGAGAGTTGGGTTTATGAGTAAGTTGAACAGTCGTCTTAGAAGTTAGCAAGATTTTCAGTATGGTTTATGTTGTTTTTATTTTTATTTTTTTTATCTTGTTCATTTCAGAATGCTTTGTTTTGTCGTTTGTTGCTGTTTCAAAAAGTTAGCCAAATGAATTTTTATGCCATTGTTCAAACTTGCTCATACATTGCACTCATCTGTTTTTAGCACCCATTTGTAGTAAGTGATTATCAGCCTACTAACAGTTGGCCTTTTTCTGGCTGGGAAAGTCACGATATCTTTACATAAATTAGATATTTATAGGTTTACATTAAGAACAGGATATTATCAAATTCTAAAAAGAAAGACATTCAGCTACGGTTGCAGCTTATCACTAATTCAAGAATAGGTTGTGTAATAAGGCCAAATGATGTGATATTGTGCTGCTATGCAAGGCGTGACTGTAGAATGTATACTTCATTATAATTAACCTATATTTAGAATAAAAAGTGATGATTATGTGTGCTGTAGGCTTTAAAAATCACTTTGGGATTTTATGACAGGTCTGATTTTGCTTTGTGATGATATTGTCATTATAATCACATCTGAAAATTATTTGGAATATCATTTTTTGCTTCATTACATTTAGAGGCTAATACTAACCATTGTTTATCTGCTCATTGGTCATTTCTTCTAGAGGAAGATGAACAAAGTTGGTTGATGTTATAGTAATAACTAGGTTTAGCTACTTTGGTTACTATGCTTTCATCATTGGTGGTCAATATGTTGCAGTAGACTTTGACATCCCAGCCAGATGAAAATTGCATGTCTGTCTCCTGTATTTTTTGTTTCCTTGTGTTTACGTATTTCATGCTTATCACCATTATGTTTCCCTATCTCTTCTGATCATTACCTCTATCCTTTACTGATTTCCATTCCACCTTTGTTCAATATTTTTGTTTTCCCTTGAGTCAGTAATCCTGGGCAACTTAATGTGAGCGAGAGCGAGAGCGAGAGCGAGAGCGAGAGCGAGAGCGAGAGCGAGAGTATGTGTGTGTGAGTGAGTGAGTGAGTGAGTGAGTGTGTGTGTGTGTGTGTGTGTGTGTGTGTGTGTGTGTGTGTGTGTGTGTGTGTGTGTGTGTGTGTGAGTGAGTGAGTGAGTGAGTGAGTGAGTGTGTGTGTGTGTGTGTGTGTGTGTGTGTGTGTGTGTGGTGTGTGTGTGTGTGAGTGAGTGAGTGAGTGAGTGAGTGAGTGTGTGTGTGTGTGTGTGTGTGTGTGTGTGTTGTGTGTGTGTGTGTGTGTGTGAGTGAGTGAGTGAGTGAGTGAGTGAGTGAGTGAGTGAGTGAGTGAGTGAGTGAGTGTGTGTGTGGTGTGTGTGTGTGTGTGTGTGTGTGTTCATATTTATATCATATTCATATTCATATTCATGTTGTTTAAATGTGTGTGTTGTATCTGTTGCTCTGTAATCTTACATAGTTTTAAATATGCAAGTTATTAATTTGTCCCTATGTTTTTGTTGAAGACACATTCATGAGTTTATATTGTACTGTTATTTAAGAGACATAATTGTAATTGAAAGGGTTTTTTTCCTGTGCCAAGCAGAGTGTGTGCAGGTGAATTTGTGAATGTACGCATGTGAATAAAGAGAAGAGATGAGAAAGTGAGACTAGAGATCCATAAATTGGCTCAATAAAATGGACAGGTCTTTAACTTAAGGGATGAAAGGAAAATTATTACTAAAATGAGTAAGTTTCAGGATTTTGTTGGTCTCCCATGCATATTGTCAGTATTGTTCCAGATGCTGTCCTTGTTGAAGAACATTTGAGATGTAAATTTGGAAGTCAATTTTGATGATCCTCATTTGAAGTTATTTGCTTTTTTTTCTGTTCTGTTTACAAGTATGTTTTTAGTTTTTTCTTTATTTAGACTGGTCTCATCGATACCCCTAGCCACCCATCATCATCATGCCATCATCGTCATAGTGCATCCTCCTAGTGCTTTTATCCCCGACATGTTGTGGCAGGTGGTGTCAGAGTGGTCAGTTTGGCCCCTCATCCTGCCCCAATTCTCTGGTCACTCTTGTGTGTTACCTCTGTTCAGTCTGATGCCTCATCTTGTATGTTGTCACTGGCTTGCCCTCCTGTTAGTCTCACCCTGTTTCTGTCACTTCACTGTTTGTCTTTTACTTTCAATCGTTCTCACTCTCACTGTCATTCTCTGTTTGCATCCCCTCTGTCACTAAAAGTGCATCCCTCGTTTTTTCTTTTTTTCTTCTTCTTTTTCCTTTTTTCTTTTCTCTTTTCTCCACCTTTTCACTCCACCCTGTTTAGTCCCTTTTAGATCCTCTCTCCCTGTTCTCTCTCATGCCTGAGTGTTGCTCATCACTAACCCAACAATTCCTTCCCTCTTTCAGCAACCTGGCAAACTAAACCTTAAGGCCTATAGCAACGTGACTGACGCAATTGGCAAAATAAACCTCAAAGATGCGGGCCTACACTCTAAACTAACCAAAGTGGGGTCAGTGCACGCGCCCCTTGCCACCCCTGAGAATATGGACCTAGGCCCTGATTACGCCGCTGTGAGTACGCTCAAGTGTCCCAACACCTACGAGTCGTGGTCGTTTACTCCTCCGTCCCCCTTCTCTCTCTCTCTCTCCTCTCCTTTGTTAGTTCTCGTCTCTGTGTCGTAGTTGGTTCTTCCACTCCCCTAACTGATGCCACCCTTCTTCCTGTTCTTCTTCAGTTTCCTTTTTGTTTTATGTCATACATCTCATATACCTATATTTGGATTAGATTTATTTTTCTCATGCTCATGTTATCATGCATCAGTTTCCTATCATCATTGACAGCTTTTAGTTCTTATTCCCCCTTCCCCCAGTAGAAGTGAGTATAATTATGGGTTTTTTCTTTTTTTGCTGGTGTTTCACCTTGTTTTGCACTGCTGATGTTGCAATTAGCACTTCTGTTATTGTATTTGTTTTATTAATGTTCTTAATTTTTTTTATAAAGGAAGTTATTATATTACTATTCTTATATATGATTGTGTTTATCTGCTTTGTTGTTATTTGTAATTTTGATAATTTATTTTTTCCTTATTTTTAATCAGTTAATATTTATTTGATGTTTAGTACATTGGTAAGGTATCCAAGTTGGTTTTGGATGAAATAATACATCATAGTCCTTGTAAAATGTTATTACTAAGAAGAGTTTTGATTTCATACTAAGCAGTTTCTAATAGAATGCATGTTAGCAGGTCAAGGATGCTGTGCCAGGACTGTACTACGAGGCGGGAGACTATGGATATTCCCGAGTGCAAGAAATACCGCAGGCTGTTAGCACCAAGACTCGAAGACAGCGTAGGGAGAAGGGGCGGCAAGGTTGGTGTGCTAGGGCTGTGTTGATGCGATCAGCTATTTTGAGCCCCTCTTTTCTAGAAGATTCTAAATGTTGTATAGTCAGAGATAGAAAGGTTACGTCCACAGAGAAAGTGGTGGTGATACTCGCAATGGCTGGTCGCTCTCTTTAGACTGGTTAATGTTATTACTAGCTAATTCTTATTTTTGATTATTATTCTACTTTTATTTGATTTCATTTGTTATCATTATTACTATCATTATTTATTTTTAACTAGTTTAAATGTTTGAACCATTGATGTTACCAGCCTTCAATGACCAGGGCAGTAGCTAGGTGTGACCAATACAGGCTGTGGATCACCCCAAGCCAATACTGCCATTTAGGTGGATCATAGTTATTTTTTCCTGTGAGTTGTACCATTAGATTTTGTTCATTGTCTTGATTCTTGTGTGTGTTACTGTCATTTGAAATCTGATAAAAAGTTCCCAAATTATTTTTATATGATTGCATGGGCAGTGTTCCCTCTAACACACATCCATCCTCCCCTTACATAAAGTTGAGTGCCTGTTCCTGTGCTGTGTACAGGTCAGGCATTGGCATTTACACAATCTCTGCATATGAGAGCGAGTTACAGGCTTTTGTCACCCAACTCTTTAAAGGAATTTTTGATATTTCGAAAAAAGTGTTTTCCAGTTTTCTTAACACCTTTTCCCCAGGCCCTTAAGAAAGAGGTACTTTAATGAATGGTGCGTTAATTTGTATTTAACCCCTGTGATCCGGATGATGTTTCAGTCCTGTCATGGAAAAATCTGTGCTGAGGGCTGGGTGATGTGAACATGCCGTCATTGGACAAAATAGCCGCAGGCCGGGTGACGCGAACTTGTCGTCATAAACGAAGGCCAGGGTGACAGAAAAGATTCACCTCAAGTGCACAAACCTCTTGGAGTATGTCTTGACACATTTGTCACTTAGAAGGGAGCTTTGGCATTATTCCCATCAATAAACAAATGTGGAATGTAAGGTTCGTAAGCAGTGACTGGATGAGCACCGGCTCCAGAGAAGACACCATTTCCATGCTGTGCATTGTATATCTGGTTGCTGTGACTGATAGCACAGGTTTTATTATGAAAAAAATATAAGCTTTATGACCAATATTTTTTTTTTTTTTTTTTTTTTTTTTTCTCTCTCCCTTCTACACAGAGAGATGATATGGAGTCTGTGCAACCAAAAGTAGCTATTGCCATCTAGATAAAGCAAATGTAAAGACAAATATTCACATTAGAAAATGGCAAAAAAGTTGTAAAGTTGTAAAATTTTACGTAAAATAATTTTGTAATGGGGAGGTGCAGAGCGTTGTCAATGCTCATGAGTGTTCGCGTGCGCCCGGCCTGTGCATTGCATGCCCAGGATATTGGCTACTTACGTAACTCACTGCCCGTATATTTGGCACAGTGATTTCCATGACGCAACAGGATCCAAATGGTTAAGAAATTAGATTTAAAACACCTGCACATGTACACGCACAAGCGCACACACAGACTCAAACGCATAAACAGGCGTAAACACACACCCACACCAACACCCACACCCACACCCACACCCACATCCACATCCATACCCACACCCAGACACACCACACACGCACACACACGCGCACACGCACTAACACACAGAAACACACACAAACACATAAATATAAAGACACACTCACACTCACACTCACACTCTCACTCTCACTCTCACTCTCACACACACACACACACACACACAACACACACACACACACACACACACACACACACACACACACACACACACACACACACACACACACACACACACACACACACACACACACACACACACACACACACACACACACACACACACACACACACACACACACACACACATACACGCTCAAATTTTATGATATCTCTACAGGAGCTAAACATTCAACAGTTTTGGAACAAATTGTGACAAGCTATAAGGGATTCCACAGTAGTTTTGAATACAATTAAGGAAGAAAATCTACGGTAATTATTATTATTTTATACAAATACACTAGAAATATGTCATGTTCTTACTTCCTGAAGAAAGCATACTTTAGTAGGTTGTGACGTCATATGGAGTGTGAATTTTTATTGGTATGATATCTCTCCGGGAATTTAAAGACCACAAGCTTTGAGCTATGAATTTTGTTTGTCTTCAAAATGAGTATTTTTAGATATAGATTGTGGTGTTATAGGAAATGGATCAATATATTCTTCAAGAACTAACAGAATTGCAACATGGAATATGTAGTGGTTATGAAGATATATTTTCAGGGTAAACTGAAGATTCTTTAAATAGAAATTATTGTGTGTGCAGGTCACATAAATCTAGCAACCTAACTTTGCTGCTGTCAGTTGGCCAAAATAGACAGTTCAGATGTAATTTAGAATGAAATGATTTAAGCAAAATATATTACAATATATCTTTATCAATATGTAAGTCATAATTGTCAGACTTAAGTGTGAAGTATGCCAAGAATACAAATGTAGGATGTCACAGATCATATTTAAACATGTAGCCAAAACACACACACACACACACACACACACACACACACACACACACACACACACACACACACACACACACACACACACACACACACACACACACACACACACACACACACACACACACACACACACACACACACACACAAACCCTCTCCTTCTCCCTCTCTCCCCTTCTGCTTTCTCTCTCCCTCTCTCCTCTCCCACTTTCTCTCTCCCTCTCATCCACCCTCCCCTGCCTCTCTCCCTCCCCTCCCCTGCCTCTCTCTCCCTCCCCCTCCCTGCCTCTCTCTCCCCCCCTCCCCTGCCTCTCTCTCTCCCCTCCCCTGCCTCTCTCTCCCCTCCCCTCTCTCTTCCCCTCCCTGCCTCTCTTGCCCCCTTCCCTCTCTCTCTTTACAACACCCACACTTAAACACGGAGGCATAGATATACACATGAACACTATTTATATGAGAATCATCTTAGTGAGCAGTTAGAAAAATATTTATGGAAAGC